AGATTTAGAATTGCATTCCGTGAGCACGAATGTTTTTTTCATTCAAGCTTTCAGTGGTCTCAAAATTAATGAAAATAAAAAAGGTTACTTACAACGCACGCCTTGAAAATTACGTAATTCACCTCGACACAAGATATTAGCAAAGGAATCTATTTTATATGAAGTGTAGTTTGTTTATTTGGCATCAAATTTTCTATTCGTTACCTTACACCATCACTATTTTAAAACTACAGAAAACCAGAGGCTCTATGAATTCAATGCGTTATACTACATGGATTAAATAGCAGATCAGATTTGTACAATTCACACATCAAACAATCCTATTCTCATTTCTATGATGAAAGATTCGACGCCTTCTAAATAGAGCATGCGTATTGGTGAAGCTGTATGATTTGTTTTCGAATACTGGAAAATGCAAAAAACCGTCCCAGAACCTCGACTGTTTGAAAAAAACAGTATTCAAAATATCTCTAACAGGTTTTTACTAGCCCTTTATTGCCGTTTACTGCTTATCTCTTATCTGAAGTATCTCAACCATAACTATCATCCAAACGTTTCTAAATTTAAAAAAAATCTCTTTTTAATCTCATTTTTTTTTTCGAATTTAAAATAATTTTCCACCATAAATAAACTTGTAGTAAATAAAATCAAGAAAGTATTAGACTGCTCAGTACAATAAGTTGAGTAATGTACAAAAATGTAACCCCCCTTTTTAGGAGTAAAAGCTGTCTAAATTCCATGTAGAATACAATAAAACACGCTCGTTTGTTTGCGTCGAAAGCTATGACAACGGCGAAAACGGCGCGGGGCGTGGAGGGGCGGGACGAGACAGGGCAGGGCATCGCATCGCATTCGAAACGCGCCCTCGTGCGCATCAGCGTTTAACACTCGTCCGGGACAATGGCAGGGGCAGGGGCAGGGCGTGGGTGGGCAGGGAGAAACCAGTTCTGGATGCCGCGCCGGTAAATGGGAGCCATTTCACGCAGCGTCCGCGTCCGCGTCCGCTTCCGGCGCCCTACGTCGCCGCGCCACCTCTCGACGCTCGGCGGCGTCAATCGGAACAGGTTTCGCGAATTTCATGCAAGGCCGAATGGTCATTTAAAAGCGGCTCCCGCTGCAACTGGGGGAGCCTCCACCGCCACTGCGCGCGAAATGGCATCGTTTGTTGAGAGAAGACGACGTACCGCCTCTTAACAACACCCTCCGCCAGTCTTAACATGTTGGAACCGTGTCTCGATAAATAGAACTAACTACACCTCATTGTTATCTTCCACGTCGCAAGTGCCGGGCTCAGAGGGAGAGGTTGAATGCCTCTTTTACTCGCATGTTAAAACCGTGTTGGAGGGCACCATGGATAAGGGTCATTCCACACCCTGAAAATATCCTCTTGCAAATCCCTACTTCAGTTGACACCGTCTCCGAGACGTGGTATTGGACCCTGCAGAGATTCTGGTCATCCTCCCAAAGCTTACACCATCCCCCTTGACTAAGATATCACTTATTGGAGAAGGGTCTTATTTTGGATACATAGACCGCATGATGAATCTTGCGCAACCGCACCATGACTTTTGATGCCGGTTTGTTGCCTACTCCCACTCCCGTTTCAAAGGAACTTTTGAGAAGATTTTTAACGTCATAGGTAAAATAATCTAGTAGATACAAATGTCTTTTTGACCCCAAGCAACGTCGTGGTAGAGTACGACCACAAAATTTTGCCAACTTTGGGAGACAATATATCTTCGCTATATTCAATGTTGAACGGAATGTGTGGAATAAATTGCATTGAAGTCTAGTGGGAGAAAGTGTTAAAAAATCGAGACATTAATGTTAAATAGCTTCCACACAAAATTCGAGAAAGAGAAAACTGAATATCACAGAGCACACAAAATCACAACATATTGTTTTGCGAAGCATAATTTCAACTTCGTAACTCCTACCATTACTTCACGCTGCAACGAACCAAAGCAGCATATCTCAAAAACTTTTTTATCTATGAATACTACCTAAATCTTTACCAAGGTTCCTTTGAGACATGAGAACCTGGCATAAAAAATTTCATAGGATATCAGAGATGGTCGCATAGCGACCATCATTTGATACGGAACGATGCATAAAAATAATGAGGGTAACCATGCGTATTATTTGCAAGAGACACAATGGAAAATGTAACTTCTTAAGAATATTATCTTGAAAGCTTAAAATTCTGGGTACTGTTGTTTCACAAGGTAAAAGTGGTTCAAAATGAAAACAAAATTGGCACGAAACACTAAAATTCTTTAAACTCTTATCTTTGTACACCATTATGTTCATAAACATATCATAACATAATAAACAGGCACAGCCTTTCAGAGTGAAAAACCATTAAAGCCCAAGGAAATAGTTTTACACATCCACTATTTATATTCTGCTAAGACGTTTTGATAATGTATTCCACACCTTCAGGGACTTCAAATCTGTTATCATGATAGTCATAATTAAGGCAACGATTGATAAAAAGCAATGATTCATTATTTGAAATCAAACTGTTGTAATGCATGTTTGAATTAAGTTTCTTGAATTTATTTAAAACACAATTAATTAGCCGTAATTGTCCATATTCCCGGTAATCACCGAGTAAAACAATCGGTAATATCGCACGATGTCTCTCTTCAATGAATTTAGTTTTAAATGATCATAACTTTTGTAATTTATCAAATTAAAGTATGTTAACAAATTTTCCAACTCCACAGATTTATATTATATTATAATGCCCACAATATCAACTTCAATGTCTAAACATTGCTAGATTTAAATAGATAGTCAATTCAACCCTATTACAAAATTTGGTTGACAGGTTTGCTGTAAATATATGAACGTTTAATTTGAAAGGAGTGCCTGTATCTGTAGCTTATCCTTAATTACATCAAGTAATTCTTACCAGATTACTTATCAAATTAGATCTAGATTCAACTCCACAAGATATTCCTCGATTTAAAATTGTTCACATTCTTTTGCTACCGAATGCAACACAATCCAATAGACAACAGGGGAGTTTCACGTTTGGGCATTTAAAACCATGATTAGTAACCCTTTTCCGACTTTCGGAAAGTGTCAACTGTCAGAACACTATTGCGGAACTTCCTTTCAGCACGAATACACGAATGCATTAGAAATTGGGTATTAGTCATTATTAGATCTTGTCTAATGGCTTATTATTAAATGCACGTTATTTGGCTGCTCTGTATGTGGAACAGTTGTTTCATTAATACATTTCCCCCCTTTGTGTCATAGTGTTAAATTTTTAATCCATAAAATTCATATAGTTCTTTAGGTACATTCATTACACTAGTCAATCCATTATTCTGAACATTTTAGTTCATATTCTGTATGAGTGTATTGAGATGCAACGATAGGCGAGAATCAGACTGATCTCAGTTCATTTAACTAAATTTTCAAGAGAGCTATTTATTTTTCTTTATATGTCGGGGGTAAGTATGAAATGGGTAAAAATGGAATGAGTTAGTATGTAATGAGTTTGTTGAATGCCAAGGGAGTGAAATATTTACAATTTTGTACACATGTAGACAGGGAGACAGAATAAAATGAAACGAAAATCTAATTTTGTTACAAAATTAGCAGAAAACAACGTCTCTGGACAAAGGAATGTAAAAATTAAATTCAGTTATCAGCGCAAGACTACTTCTCTAGTTATTTATTCAGATATTTCGTGATCACTAGCGCAGCATAACATGAATTTCTCATTCAAAACTTTATTCTTCATATCATTCTCTTCAGATAATTGTACTGATCTCATCTGTAACCAAATATACAACTGCAATTCAAAATACTGTAATACTGTCTGACCATAGGAACTGACATCTGAAAAGAGTATGCCGAATTTGTATGAATGTTCTGAGTGAATAGGATTCACTCAATATATAGCTCTCGAATTGCACACGTCAGTATTACGCCGAGTTATCAAACCCTTCGCTGATATGGACACCGCTCAACACTTCACAAACAAGAGTTGATCGGGGCCAAATATCAAGATTACACATCCCAGCACGTGTGAATGGAGCTCTATGCAGCTCCCACACTTCGCGGAAAGCACATGCCAGGGTTCAGTCGATGGCTCAACGACTCAACAGGGAACAAGACGAATTTTTAAAGTAAAACATGCTTGACGTATTTCTGGAATGGAACCAAGCTCCCCTACTTCGGTTCCTTGAGCTTTGCATTAGCGACTAGGGTCTAATCAGATCTCAAAACTCCGTTGATGAGCATTCACGAAAAAAGAGGGCAAATTGCAGAAAAAACGCACTGTTGCATGCTGGCATTCTTTTTTATTAAATTGTTAATTATTCACAATTGTGTTTATTACGTTTTCCCACGTACCCTTCTAGTAATTTCTCGTACATCCTTTTGTCAACTACGCAATTTCCTCCTTCCTTCAGAAAAGTTCGAATGACATACAGAAACCTGTCACAAATTACTTTACTAAAACTACGGAAATCACCTGGTGCGTTATTGAACTGAAACTGCAAAAAAATGTCGATACAAAACACTATTAGTCCGTTTTCAGCCTCGTTATGCTGGTATAAGGATTCCAACTACTAAAAGAACCAATGTAGTGCATTATCGAAATGCATCTGAAAAAAATAAGTGGGAAAACTACGTCCCAAATAGAACGTTTTACACACAAAAAACAAACATCTGAAAAAGAAAAACATTTCAAAGTTTACTTATTGCGTAAACATCGCGCAACAGAGCTGTAGATAACTAAAACACTATGCGCATTAATTGCTTTCAGCTACCGCAAACCAATCAATATAGAACGAAAACACAAAACATTTGTAAATTACGAAAATTCAACGTGCGGATGGTTTTTAATTATTATTTTCTTCGGATTAGCAGCTCTCCTGTTAAAGCAGACCTTAAGAAACTAAGGGGGGCGACATGTCGAATATACTACTAACGTTTCTCGAGTTAATTCTCGGGGCGCAAAAAATTATCGCTCTTACCTCCAGCCATTGCCGACCAGCTCGTAGGGTGAGTCCTGACGGCCACCCTCGCGACTCCTGCAACAAGCATTGTTCGCATGAAGGAGAACGGCGCACGCGCCTCGCTTCGCTTCGCCTCGCCCGAGTAACACGCCCACACAGCTCCGAGAAATCTCTGCCCTGCATCTGCATCCAACACAACAACAGCGCCCCGCAAGCGCCCATGCTCCTAGCAGGCCTCAGGTGGCGGCGGCGGCGGCGTTTCCAAAGCACGTCAACGTATACGACGCAATCGCAGAGACGCGGCCAGGAAGACAACCTGCCTGCCGCTTCGCAGTCGGTCACAGGTTACAGTACGCGATACTAAGTCTTGCAGCTCCCTCGGATCGAAGCTTAGTGGGAAGCGCAAAAAAGTGTGTGGCACGCTTGTGATTCATACCGACAGATTAACAGTACCGTCACGCACCAAACAACAGCAATAGCTCCAGCATACAGCCACGGGCAAACACTCAGCAATAAGCAACAGCGCAAAACCAGGTGCAAGAAAAAGAGCGTGAAGCTTTGAGATGCAACAGCTTCTGCAGCTTTTATAAACACGCCCACTCGTCCCAAAGTAGGGGGAAATCCTTAACCCACAGCAGTAGTCCTTTAAATTACGAACTATCCGAAGGAGTACAAATCACTGATCCAAACTTCACATTATGATTGTCATTCTGCAAATAACTATTTCATGTTTATGAATGACTTCTTAGAATTCTTCAGGTTTCCGACACTATAAGTCATCTCTTACAGAAACGCAATGATTACCAGAAGAAAAAGAAGCTTTCCAACAAATAACTCGCTAAATGGAAAAGATAATATAGTTGCGATCGGTGATGTACGAAGATTACTGCGAAGGAACCGATTTGATAGTTACTGCTAGCAATGTAACTGCAGGTTAGTCCGTACGCTTAGTTGGCAATTGACTCGCTCGTAAATATCTTCGACGCTACCTCTTGCAATGACATCGCCCGACATTACTTCATTTGTTTCTCGACCTGTCAAACCTGTCACTTCTTAAGAGATTTTGCTTCTAGAAGGGGGGCGTTTTGAAAGAGAACCGCCTCAAATCCAATCTACCGCCTCCCAGTCTTCTAGCTTCCGAGGGATGAACAGGAACAATTTCTTTCAAAGAATAGAATCCACGCCCGCATTCATATGCTAGGTTTCCTAGTACCCTCGCAGGGGAGCGATTGTCTTATGAATCATACCTGTAAATAAATCCACTCATCGATAAGACCATGGAATGAATATTATTCCTCTGCATCAAATGTTTCGAAACACAATATTTGCACAATAAATAATACTTCCTTTAAGCATTAAAGCAAGGCATTAAGCCATTGTTACACATCTTGCCTTATAAAATGAATCTTTTTAATTCGTGAACGTCCTCAACGGGGGCTTGCGGCCTCATATGTTTATCACTGTTAAAGAGGTTCATTTTATAAGACAGGAGGAGTAACAATGACCTCATGTCATGGGTCACTTCAAAAAAATCGAACTATATGAGTATATGAGCGTTAAAGCCAGTTGACTGGCAGCAGTTTTCACAAGTGGCATGAATTGTTACATAGTATCGAAGTTACAGGCAATTTAACTAAACCATGTTTCTTTGCTTGTGCCCCTTGTCTATATTAACAATTGGGTAAGATTCATCCATTGAAAGAGCACTGGTGGAAAATCGAAAAATATCGAATTAAATATTCATTAGCGTTTCGCCGACAATTACTAGACATTGCGATTTCAGAAAATAAATTACAGCGGAATCGATGACTACGTCCCTATGTGTCCTAAACTAGCAGATTAACAGCAGGCATTAGTTCAGAATATAGTAGATTTGCACCAGTTGAGTAACAATCTCATAACGCACGTCACATTGAGAAAGAAAAACATCGGTCATCTTATAATCATCAAATACCAATTAAGATAAAAATTCCATTTAGTTACTTGAACATATACAATCAAGCTTTTAAATGTACAAAGAAAATTTAATTGAAAATATTAATATGGATTAGCTCTTATCTCATATTTCACATTTTGATTTGAATTTATTCTGTAAATTTAAATGCCTACTTGTCTTTGTAATTTTTATATTTTCGATTATACGTAGCACGGTCTGTGATCGCAATGTACCCGAAAGAGATTTTCGCTCAAATACAGTGCGACTATAAACAGTCTTTAGTCTCAACTGATCAGTGCAATGTATTGGCGCCATTTTTTCGGCGCGAAGGACGGTCGAGTTATATTCATTAAATGAGAGCCCGAAGGCGCATCTGATGAAACTTTCACCTCCACGAGCTTGAGATACGCCGTCATTGAGTGCCATCACACGCGAGCAGAGTGCCCTGCCGGCGTACACGACAGTCAACACGCCCATTAACAGTACCCTCCCCCGAAACGAGTAAACGGCCCGATACCATCGCTGTCGCAAGCCATTACGTTTCTTAACAAGGCCGTCTTTACACGCGATGTACTCTACTAGAATGATTTTTCGAATTCGCCGACTTGACAAACCTGAGAGATACTCGCAGCACACGAACGACCGCAATTAACATTCATGGAGCGGAAATCTTTTAGGTGCAAGACGTATATCTCCATCTACTTTTAAATAAACAATTCTCATTAATGTCCGTACAACTCTCATCGTAATCACGCACATTTCAGAGCCAGTTTACAGGATCACCGGAATTTAGTCCTAAGCAAGCCATTTAAACTGAAATTTCCGCATAAAATTTAATTCTAGTCGATTTTTAATAAACTAGCACATATTGTCTGTCACAAGAAAAGAGACACATGAAAAATTGAAACAAAGTGATTTACTCTGTATAACGGCAAGGTTATGAACTATATTACGAATAGTAACAACAAATATTTCAAAAAGCTGTCTTGCTTTAATTCCACATTGACCATTGTCTTGATGTATCACTTATCTTGAGTGCCAATGACAAGTCCTCAATCTTTAATATCAACTACGTTCTACACGTTCACATTGCAACAATAATTCAACGCATATGTATTGAAACCTTAATATAATTACAGGAATGGGATAAAATTGTTTTGTAAAGAGAACCGTATTACCTGAGAAATGTCTCTCTTTCTTTCTTCTTTTTCGTTCTTTATTAATTAAAGATCTCGGGGGAGGGGGAAAGAATGATGTTATGTCTTATTCTAATCTATCTTGAATGACTTACATGAATCAACCTAAAGAGCTCTCGGTGATCCTTATTCAACTACGGATGAATGATATAATATTACACGTTTAACGTCAATTGTTGGAGGATGCCAGTGCAGTACCATAAGCCGCGATCCTTCTGTCGCTAATCGGAGGAAATTTGCACTCTCCCAACCTTATGATTGATGTTGGGCCCATATGGCCCATCCCCCATGAAACAGGAAAGCTCCAGGAGTGGGGCGAGTACGCGAATGTTGCCCTCGAGGCTGTAGTGTAGGAAATGAAGTACACAATAGGAAAAATCCTGATCTTCACAAAAAAATTCACTAAATGTCGACGGAAATAAATTTTGAAGAATAACAAAGTGAATTGAATTATTTCGAAAAATTTTCCATCATTCCATTTCTTTATACACAGGGGATTTATATACACGACTTTTTTTAATAAGATAATCAGTTCGTTGTTATTATGTAGCATATATGTGTTATGAATGGACACGACTAATAGGTTCCTGGTGCTCATTATGCAATTCTAATCGCATTGAACGTGTCACTCCAATGTAGACCATCTCAATAGAAGCTTTGGTCCATTAATTTTCGTTGTATTCTGAATGGATTTCTCGGAGTTTGCAATAATACAAAAGCAAACATTCCGGAAGTGTAAAATTTATTAATTCTAATAAGAGCACATTTCAAGCCAGTCAAAGAAAAAATTTCGGCAAAAGAAACTGACATTCGTAGCAACTACCCCACCATGCAAATAAAGACCGCATATACAGGTAGATTTACAAGCGTTAATCGCATATTGGAAGCGGAAGAAACATCAACATGCAAGGGCGCATTGATCTGCTAGACGAACCGTGTAAATATTCCTTTCACCCGTGTACAATTCTTCAACCAGTGAGGACGCTCTGAGAAAGTTAATTTGCCTATTACAAATGAAACTTGTAACCGACCGTTTGCTAGGTAACATACCAGATGTTTCAATATTAGTTTATTGCAAACTATGATTCATTCGTAAAATTAATGCACTCTAACGACACAAATTCTATGAGACCGGTTTGAAATATAATAGAAAAGAACTGAAGTAGGAAATCTGGGTACAGTTTTGTACATAAACTACATACAATGATCACACATTTCCTTCACCCACACTGAAATTTGTAAAAAACCCTTGTTTCTTTTACAAAAATTTCCCATGTACTAGGAAATGTACAAATCAACAGTAAACAAAAACAACAAAGTCAACATTTTCTGCATTAAGTAACGGTTTATCTCAAGATTTGTCAAGTAGAATGCAACAAATTATTCATTGAGTTTCACTCTACTTCCTTAAACCATGCCGACCAAAAGCAGAGATGTTTCGCTAGTATTTATCAGAGTAATGAAATTTTCCCACCCAAGCGATACATCTGTGTCGAGCAATTCCAGAATCTGGGACGTATTTTAGAACTCCGATCATCAGTAATCATGTGCATGAAAAGTATTACGATGCCGAGATAAGATTCGCAATCCATTTTCTCGTTGGATAATTCAGTCCCTACACAAACTGCAATTACCCCACAAAGCACTCGCGTAATGCACTGACAATTGAATCCTTGAAGCAGTATCATGTTACGTTCTACAAAAAAACGCTTTACCATATCACCATCTGCCCATGATACAGAAGTATTTCCAACTTCTACCGCATCCATCACCGCACCCAACTGTTACTCCCTCAACTTGCACAGCTTTTACATCCTTTGCTAAACGACTACCCAAAGCATTACTGGCAAAACTGAAGGGCAGATCTATGTTTTAGAGATGCAAGCCAAGAAGGAAGAGAAGCAAGGGTGAGAGAATTCATCAGGCAAATATACCCGGGCGAGGGCAAAGATGAAAAGGAACTTAGCAAGCTCAGCAGCGCAAATTAAAGCAAGACAAGGCAGACGAGTCACTCACCTCTTCTTGCCGCCGCCAGCAACCGACGGTTCGACAACTAGCACCGACCCATTGAAATTGTACCCTGAAAAAAAATCAATGGCGATGAGTCATTAAATAGCACAATACAACCTGGAAACTTATAAGAAAATGTTTCTGATAAATGTTTCATAAATAACTGCTAAACCTAATCTGAAGACACATTACTAACTCGTTGAAGTAACTCCTTTGGAAAACCGCTTTTACTTACTATTTCCTTTGGAAGTCAAAATCAAATTATTTCGTAGTGGCTGAGAGGAGCTCAGCACCTGAACCACGTATGCTATTAAATAACCCCTCTCCACATTCTCAGCAAAGACGCTTCTTCGTAGCGCCAGTATTTCACCACGCAATCGATGTCGGTCGGCCTCGTTCCCTGATTTACCCGGGCGCGGCCAGCTCGGCCCAGTGTCGCGATCTGCACGCTCGCCCGGAGCCCAGCACGCGGCACGCGACGCAGCTATTACTTTTTTAGTTCGAGGAAGCCGAGGCTACTGCGAACGTTGCACCCAGGCATTTTTTTATGCTCCAATATTCGCAATAGTTCAACAAACATTGCATCCAAGGGCTGTGCACTTGCAATCATTGCAAGAAAAGCTTTCGGGTGTGAACGTTTCAAATTTCGAATCACCAATTACCAACCAGACTACGTTGTAATAACAAATTATCGTATCAGGAGAAATCATCAGACTAAGACAAAACTGCGAGAGACCGAGATTCCCTAGGCCATAAGCAGATCGAGAGTAATTTTATTCGGTATCTTTCCGAATTGTCTCTTCCAATTCATTTACGACATCGACACACTCAAAATATTTACAATGGAGTTTCGCCCTCACGAACAAGAGTGACTTTTTGTGGACATTTTCACGTCGAGATTATGTTCGTTTGCTTTCTAGTGTCTTGTAAACCGAATCCCAAAGGACAGCACGTTTTCCGCAGGGAGAGCCTTACGGTTTACTCGCAACGTTTGGGACTCTTTACAATGCTCGCCATTCATCTCGAAATTTGAAACTCTCAGACGTAATATTCACCACAAACCGCTAATGAAAGCGTGAAGGAGTCGCCTTGGCTTTAGTCTTTGTAACGACGGCTCGTGTATCTCCCGGGGAAAACCATGAGAAGTGAGGAAGAATATACAAAACAGTTTCGCTGGATTGTTTCTTAATTATTCAACAGTAGTACGACCTACATTTTACGTCAGTAGCTCGCACTCAATGTTTACTAATTTCCTCGTATTTTATACACCTTCCAGTATTATTAGCCTTCACTGAACAGGAAACTGTCGGGAAGAGAATGAAACACACCAACTAGTTTTCTTCTTAATATCTTAATCTGATGAACTATACCACATGCTGGATTCCAATTAATCATAGAAGTATTCCATCAATAGTAATACTGAAGCTGTGTTAATAACTCACTATTGGCAAGCACGTATCCTCCAAATACAATTTTCGTACCACAAGTTCGAACGCCCAACATTTTGATCAAGTTATTTTTTTAAGAAAACGCCGCTGCAGATACTCAGAATTCGAGAGGAGGAAAAAAAATGATATATCAATGAATTTAATGCACTTTTACGAGTAAATGGTGGACTTTTGTTCTTTAGAAGAGACTTCTTGGAATGTGTAATCATGTAATAAATGTATTTGGAAATTCAACAATATCCGAGGTAATGAAGGCTATACTTCGTGTTAACGCAAACTTTCAGCTCGTTCAAAAACCGCGCGTCGCGGAATCTCGTTTAGAGGAGCGTGGGGGAGCAACTTAACTTCGCCACGGAACATGCATACGAGCGCGCTACGCGCCGCTGCGGCGGCAGCACCACAGAGTTCAACCTGCGAAGAGGAGGGGTGGGGAGGGGAGGGGAGGGGAGGGCGACTCCCGCGCACACAGAGAGAGATGGGAAAGAAGAAAGAGTGACAGAACATCGGGGTTCCGAAGGTCGTTGCAGCAGAGGAGGACGGACTGACATGCGCCTTCACGCCACGCACAACAAAATTTGCCGGCGCACGTGGCACTTGTCACTTGAAGTTCCATGGGATAACGAGCAACAAGGAAGATGAACAAGAATAACCGGTATAAGAATATCCTTTCAATATAGTTTTCAAGACCTACGCTAGCGTGTCTTTCCCGTTTCTCCTTATTACATTATTTTCCTCTTCCACCGCACAATTCTCTTATATGGGAGAAAATTCGATACAACTGCAAAGACGTAAATAAATTAATAAAAATCAACCAAAGAAGAGGTTCTACTTACTTCGCCTAAGCCATTTACTAAACCGCAGCAGATTTCGCCTTCCGTTACCATTTATAATAGATTGATCTTGAACCAAATTACTAACGCAGGTCTTTACCCCGCGAATTTCTGAAGCCTAAAAACAATTGTCGTTATTATTAGAACGTGTTATGATTCATAAAAGAAGAACCAGGATAAGCTGCATTAAAATAAGGGAAGCTACTGACTTATTTATTGTACAACCCAAAAGACGAAATATATAACACTTGAAAATGAGAAACAAAACCCAAACACAAATTTATACAACTCTGTCTCACTTGGTTGGGCAGAAAAAGGTAATTCCATGTTTCATGTTTTACCTAACGAGAAAAACTTCTTCGGGGATTTTCTGTTAACATTCCAATATTCTCTTATGAAATACCATATGAGATGTTTTACAAAGACAAAAATTCAGGGCGAGAGGGAACTACAAACGAATAAAATCCAGTTTCAGACTGCTTTGGCCGGTTTCTTTTTTAAACCTTGATTACATTTATTATTCCAAATAAGTGTCGCGACACGAGCCGTTATCACTTTCCACCATAGGCTAGACAACCGAAACCCCACCATACATTGATGTAGGGTGTTATAAGTAGGTTTTGTTTGTTTTATTTAATTTTCAAAAAATCGAAGAATATAAGTATACTTAAAACGACACTAACCCGAAAATTGAGAAGAGTTATTTGATGTACTTGCAATTTATCGAAGAGCCTTTCTCAATCTGAACTACTACCAAATTACTAATTTAAAAAGAAACCAAATACACATCAGATTAGACGTCGATGAAATCTCGTCGTGAAAATTTCAAATTTTAGCTTAGAAACCCAGAATTAATCATTTCTTTTCGACCTGATATTGAATATTTAAAAGGCGAACTATAATTCGTCGTCCAAAACGACTGGTAATGAAAAATCCTGAACACAAAGGAGTTCTACTGATTCCAATGCAAACACGGCGAGCATTTTCTAGAAAAGCCGGCGGAACGCGTCCGCGGTAGAATCCAAACAATTTTCAAAACTCAGGTCACCATCGGTAGGACAAAACGCTCACTCGCTGCTACAGCCCTTCGGTGCGATCCTTGCCGCCGCTTTCCTGACAAACTAGCTACCCAGCTTGTATACCCCTAGCGCCGCCGCTCCAAAAATACTATCCTGGACGCTGTCTGGCCGGGCGCTCGCGTGTCGGCTGTCGAGTATACCTGCGAATGCCTCACCATTCTCTTGCCCGCCCTCCGCCCACCCAACCCCGATGCCCGCGCCGAGCTGCGCCACCGCCGCGCTGCCACCCACGTGTAGGGACTCCCAGCGACATTCCAATCATTTAAGGAAGAGCACACGTTCAAGGTAAGCCTGGGCAGTTTTGAAGCTAATTTCTCTGGGGCGCAATACCCGCAATTTACAAGAGTTTTCGGAGTTTGGAAACGGATGGCTAAACACTTAGTAGAGATACATGAAAATATTAAGACACCAAAGCAGATAACTATCGAATAGCAAATGTCACTCGATGTGAAGTGACATTTTCGGGATTTGTATATCGGAAAGCAATGTGCCAGAACCAACACAAAAACATCTCGAAACACATTTCCCTCGATTGTAGACAGCAATGGTTTCCTAACCGAGTACGTCTTCGTACACAACGGAGCACTAAGGCGAATTACTCAAAATTCTTGGATGAAATTAATGTGAATACATTGACATGGACAGGGAACAGGTGAGATATATATCCTAGAATGTGAACAATATTGTGAAGCAAAGACAGAGGAAATTCGAAATCACAATATTAGTTGTGCAGTTCCACCAAATCTGACATTTTTTAATTAAATTTTCTCCTTCTTTAGAACAGTTGATCCAGTAATTAAAGTTGTTTAGCTTAGAAGTTTTTGGACCATGAATATTTACAACACATTACCAAGAACAAGAAAATTCCTATTTTGCAAGTAAGCAAACAGAGTTACTTACAAGTTGCACTAGAGTTATTTATGGAAAACAGCTTGTTATCTTTTCACTACGGTATTCTAAAATCTGAATGCAGATAACGTTTGAATAAAATGGTAGGTTATTTATGGGACAAAATTATATGAACTAAACACCCAAAAGAAAACGGCACATATAGCATCCTTGTAAATTTACTATTCTCATTTACATAGAAACCGATATCCTTATATTTGTGTAAATGTATCTCGTGTCCGCTTGAAAATTAGCAAATAAAATTCCTAGTTAGCCTAAAAAAATCATTCAACCACTACGTTCACAATATGCAATGTACGAACATCAATCTTTCGACGGAACGCGCTGACATTTCTAATTTTAATAAAATGTTCATACTCAATTTTATTATTCAAAATTACAAATCCAATAAAATAATGCATACTCGAAATATTCGAAAGGGAACATGACATGTCTGTATCATATCAAAAGCAATTCAACATTAAAATTACATTTCCGCTTCCAAACCGTACATATAATGCAAAGGCCTTTGTTGTTTTTTCTTTCCAATTCGAATACTGAGATAGCAACAGTCGATATGTCATCGTAAAAGAGCAACAGCTGTTAAGTAGATTTCTCTACACTGTAGAACGTCCATATAGAGAGAATTCCGTCAGGGATTGCGACATCAACCTCTCTTGTGTATTCGAGATACTGGGCGCTTCAGACGCTCTTCTACAGATTACACCCTCCGTTAGGGTTGAAGTTCTCCACGCATCGAGCAAAATCAATACTCCCAGGCAATGGGGGCCCAGCAAGGAAGGCGAGAGAAGATAAGAGTAGCCC